TGCTGAGCTGTGGGGCCACCATGGCTTGAAAAGCTGCTGACTCTGCTGGAGCCCAGTCCAATGAACTACATAGTAAATCATGAGTCTTTTGGCTTTGGACTCCTATCATCTGTAGTTTTACTATATACAAGGTTTGATCAAAAAGTTCTAAGACTTGATGTTCGGGGTATTGTTCATCAGGAATTTCTACCAAGTGGGCAAACAATCAATCAGGCCTTTTATAAAGAGGTTTTGATTCGATTGAGGGATAAAGTTAGAAGAAACCACTGCGAGCTGTGTGAAAATGGTCGATGGTTTCTGCACCATGACGACGCTCCTTTACACATTGCTGTCTCCATTCAAGAATTTTTGGCTGAAAAAAACATTCCTGTGATACCACACCCTCCGTATTCACCTGACCATGCCCCATGTGATTTTTTTCTGTTCCCAAAAATCAAAATGAAGCTGAAAGGAAGGAGATTTGATGATATTCCAACCATCATAAGAATGTGAAAGCGGAACTCAAAAAACTCAGCTGAAGACTTCTAGCATTGCTTCCAAAAGTGGCAGGAACATTGGGACAAGTGTATATCATCTGGGGGAGATTACTTTGAAGGGGACAGCTCATAAAAATGTTGTTTGTACACTATTCTTTAAAATAAAGGTTAAGTCTTAGAACTTTTTGATCACAACCTCGTATAAATACTTATCACGCAGGGTAAATACCATGACCACTAAGACAGTTTTCCTAGTTGCTGGGGCTAACTGCTTTTCTGGCACGGGGTATTACCTGTGGAGGTAACATGTAGATAACCTCCCACTTGCTGCTCAAGTGGGAAGATCTTGGCTTTGTGCCCACATTATGGAAATGGGAGACTCACCCCTAGCTTGCTCCTGTGGCCTTATGGCTGAAGGCAAGTGAAACTTGGGGGCATCTGAACCCTAAGCCTCCAGGTTTGGACTGTACATAGGATGCCTGCGACATGATTTAGAAACGTCTGAAGCCCCAGGTGGGGTGGAGGATGTTTGCCAGTAATAGGGCCACTTACGGTTCTTGACTGATTACCATGGATTTTGAATTGATTTGGCTTGGAACAGGCAAAAAAAATTTTTTTGAAAGTAAGTTTTACTATATGCAAATAAGTATAAAAGTGCTGCTTAAAAGTGTGTTTATGAAGTACCTGTCCTAAAACTTGCAACAATTTCAGAAAGAGTGAAATTCTGCATTAACTCAATTACTATAGGCATGTTTACATCTAAATTAGTGTTTTCAAATTTACCCCTCTCTTCCACGTGCTCATAGAGAGTAGGGTCTGACAGTAAGGGGGAGGTAAGGGGCTGCAGAGGGAAGAACTTGGGAGGGGCAGAGAACCAGGGGGTCACCTGATCCCCCAGATTTATTTTCCCTGCTATAGCAATGGGAAGGGGACAAACTCAAGGCAAACCTCCAATAATTAGATTCTGTCCCTGGAAAATTATAAATTGTCCACATACAGAATTGAATATAAGATGGTCTCAATATAATTAGAGTAAATATGGTACCTACCGGCATCTATAGGAATGCAGCTGTCTGCCTCTACCTCATCTTCGCTTGCTTTCCCTTTTGTGAACTATAAGTTCTTCCCTCTGGAATACTCTACCTGTCTCTCCATCTCAATTCATGGCTTCTTCCCTCATGAATGTTCCTATTGGCAAAAACAGTTTGCCTCTTTCCCCCTTTCTGGGATAGCCTACCAGTAGGGCAGCTACACTGACTGAATAGAACTAGGAACAACGGACTCAAGCTGCACCAGAAGAAATTTAAGGTAGAGATGAGGAGGAACTTCCTGGCAACCAGGGTAATCAAACATTGGAGCAGGCTACCTAGAGAAACTGTGGAATCTCCATCCATGGAAGTTTTCAAGTACAGGCTGGATAGACACTTGGCTGGGGGGTTTTATTTAGGAATGATTCTGCCTTGAGCATGGGGGCTGAACTAGACAGCCTTGTGAGGTCCTTTCCCACCCTACTTTCCTATCATCCTACGATACCATATTCTCCCTATTTCACACCCCATTATATTGATAAAAACAAATCACTAAGCTGAAAGTTAACTGATTTGAATTTAATAGATGTTCTCCAAGGATCGAACTTGGAGGTTTTGTTGTGTCCTCTCCAACCCTGCCAAGTCTCCTGCAAATAATAAGGGCTGTGAATGTACCAAAAAATATCTGTACTCCTTTAATATACTCATGAAGATAAAAGCAGTACAAGCCAGCTATAACTTTAATATAAAAATTATATATCAGCATAGCTATTCCTGTAAAGGAAATGAGCTACACGAGGAAAGAAGTCACTTTCATAATGGTAAAAGTATGTCTGTGCTACCAGATAGTGTCACAGAAAGCCAGAAGCTGGAAGGAACCTCAGGAGGTCATCTAGTCCAATCCTGACTCAAGGCATGATCATTCCTGTCTAAGCTATCCCAGACAAATATTTATCTAAACTGCACTAAAAAACATCCAGTACTAGAGATTCCACAACTTCTCTAGCTAATCTGTTCCAGTGTTTATTTAATCCCTTAGTTAGAAAGTTCTTCCCAACTCTCCCTTGTTGCAACTTGATCCCACTATTTCTTGTCCAGTCCCCAAGATATGTAATTTTTTAAATCTCCGTCCAGGATCAAGATCAGATTAACAGCACAATCAAACTCTCATCTAAAAGATTTAATAAAAATCAGAGTAAAGTTTAAAAATGCAGGACCATCAATAAACAGTAGCACAATGATGAGCAGAGCATCAGCCCTGGGTGCTGCCAAAGGAGGTTACACCTTGCCCTGTTATCCCCTATTCCCCCTCATCTTGCACCTTCTTCACAATGGCTACAGCAGCAGGCAGAGCAGAGAAGCACCCGCAGTAGGAGTAGCAGCAAGACGTTTGCTACTATGGGTGGGGGAAGGGGAGGGTGAAGATGTCACCACTTTTTTTCGCTCTGAAACTTCAGTGCTTAAATTGATTCTTAACATGTGGAAGTGACAAAACTTCCCCACCTGCATCCCCTCCTGGCACAAACCTCTGGCTGCTGCTCCTGCCCAGGGTGTAGTATGCTCTGACAGGGGGCCACCCCAGGGCCAGGTCTCACTTTGGCCTGCCCATCTGTCTAGGGTAGTCTGCCCCTTCTCACCTGCAACAACTTGATGTACTTCGATATAATAAGCAGGAGGCTGCTCATTACATGCCCTGATGCCAGCGGGCACTATCCATGGCTCTGTATCTCCCCTACACTGTGGCCTATGCCTCGTAGATGGCATCCACCTTCTTATTACAGCTTCAGCTTGAGGTCGGGTCAAACTCAGTCCCCTGTTGGGCATCTTGCATACTACCCCATCCAGGGTCACACTCATACTGCCCCCCTCTTCCACTCTGCCCTCTCTCACCCGGCTCTTGCATGCTGCCCCTCCTTGGGCCACACCCAACCTGCCCTGCTCCCTGAGCAACCAGGTAAGCCATCAGGCTTGCCTACTCTCATTTCCCGACTGGCCAGCGTGCAGCCTCTTAGGTCCTCCACGACCCTCATCTGGACGGTGACCAGCCAATTTACTGAACACTGGGCTGACTCTGCCCCTAACCCCTCACCAGGCGACTTCACACACACACACAGAGATTTGTTATGGGGGTTAGCCCCTTCTTCAGGCTGTCTCTTTGGCTGTACTTAACACACCCCCTGTACTGCTCTTCAGGCCATCACTTCAGCCCTACTCAGCACCTGTACTGCACAGGCCTTCAGGCAACCACTGCACACCCTACTGTGTGTGGGCCAACTGATCCAATGCCTGTTCTGTGCAGCCAAACAACTGCTCCCTCTCTGGGGCCTCTTGGGTCATGCATTTCCCCTCATGAGGCTCAGGTGCCTCAGGGCCTGGCCCCCAACACTTAATTACCCACCAAGAAGTAGGGGCTAGAGGTATAAGGCACCCCTACCTGCCTTTCACCAGGGAGGTAATTGGCTTGGCATTTCTGGGGAACTGTTCCACCATGAACAGCCCCACCAGGCCACCCCTCCCTGGCAGGGTGCAGTTTCAAGTCATATTCAGGACCAGGAGCCTCCTGCCATTCCCACAAATCCTGCCCTTACCTCCAAAATGTTCCAAGCAGCAGCTCAGCTGGACGTTGCCTCCTCAGCTGCTAGCAGCAAACTGCTGCACCAGCCCTGTGGCCTTGAACCTAAAATGGCCACTTATCAGGACTGGCCTACACCTGCAGGCTGTCTGCTCCCAGCCCTTAAAGTGACAGACACCGAGGGTGTACTGCCACATATTGCTCTGCAACTAAAGTCCCCTTGAGGTAAAATACTAACTAGGCTATCTTGAAACCAAGAAATAAGGACCTAAATATAACAGATACATTTTAAACAATATATTAACATAGAAGAGGTTAGCAAAGAAAAGCACAGGCAACCCCCACTTAATACTGTTTCGCCTAGCGCTATTTCACTATAATGCTCATTTTAAATCGATTCCTGATTTCACTTAGTGCATAGCAAATTTCATTATAATGCTCATGGTCACCATCTTGGGTCATTAAAAACACTTGCAGTCGCCATCTTGGATCGTCAACTACTTTCAGTTTCACTTAATGCTCATTTCACTTAACACTTGGTTTTTCAAGAACCAATTAAGAGTGCTAAGCAGGGGTTGCCTGCATTAGCAAAATTAGGGAAGAAGGCAAACCACCAGCCAGCTTACTTGAACACTAAATGCAAACAAAATGCTAAAATATGCATTGTTCCATAACAAGTGTGCAACTCCTCTTCGCATCAATACACAAGTGCAATTTTTCCTAGCAGGTTTTGACAAAAGTCTGACCCTAAGAATTGTTACTGAAAAAGTTAATTACAAGCCTGGACAAGGAATTAAAAGTGCTCCTTAGCTTTATAAAAAACTATTCCAACTGTGAGTGAGTTTTCACCCATTATACATTCAAATTAACTTTTAAAATGACTTGAAATTTATTAGGTTTTCCAACTTAGTCTTTATGGCTTACCTTGGCTTTGCCATCTTGCGCTGACATATACCCTACACACATGCTTTCTGTTGTATGACTCCATAGGAACTCCACTATAAGAAAAAAAATTAACGTCATGCATAAATGTATTCATTTTCAATGTAAAAAAAACCCTCATCTTATATTTCAGTAAATACAGTAAACATGGGAGTAACATGTCAGAAGACAGCCATTTTTCTGTCTCAAAAATACACTTTCCTTTCCTGGGAAGAAAATAGCTGAGGAATTTGCCTTTCTAAGACTACGTAATAATGATTTACAGGATCCCATCTATTAGCAACAACTGCAGCAAAACTGGTGGTAGATTAAAGCTAAATTTATCCCAATGCAGAAAAGGCTGCTATTTCATATTTAATTCAACATCTTTTTTAAAGTTTAAAGAACTCATTTAAGACAAAGAACACTGGCTTTAATTCAGCAAGCAGATGGAAGGATCTCAAGGGCTGTATAAGGTAAGGGCTTTATGCTATAAACATATACATGTGAAATTAATGGAACTACTCAAAGTAATCACGTTAAGCACTTGCTGATAGATTTGTAGGGTCATAGACTAAAATGTATCTACCATCTGTGTTGATTTACAGCAAACCATGTTATTTAAATTATCCTGTTCAAATGTATCATTCAAAATTATCCCAAGACCTGAACCTCCACTGATGGGACTCTGAATAAAATTACGTAATAGGAAAATACATTCAGCAGAACCTTTATTTTGACATGAGAAGTTCAGAGAGGTGGTTACCTAAGTTAACATTAAGTTAGGCAGAAGGCAAGGCAGTGTGGCATCTCAGAGACTAACTCATTCAGAAAGTTATGAGCTTTTACAGGATATAGCTGACTTCATCAGATGTTATGGCTGGGTTTGCAGAGTTTAGCTAAATTCATACCCCCAAAGGACTTTTACAATTCAGAGCCCCAATGACTTTTACAATATTTTTCAGGACAAAATATAAACTAAAAATTGCTCACTAGATGTTTAGAAAGTAATCAAACTACTTCCAGCAAATTGATGTGCTTACAAAAATAAGCACTGATGCCAGGTAATAGTACAATGCAAAGACTTAACAGGACTTTCAGTTAATTAGCTCTGTTAAAGCTCTTGTGACAAGGCCAAGTTATGTTTATTTTGAAGAGTATTTGCTGGGCAGAGGCAAAAAAAAAAAAAAAAAAAAAA